CTCTCTCTCTCTCTCTCTCTCTCTCTCTCTCTATATATATATATATATATATATATATATATATATATATATATATATAGAGAGAGAGAGAGAGAGAGAGAGAGAGAGAGAGAGACACATATATGTATATATACATGTTTGCCATTTGACAACCCGCCTCTCGCCGCGCCTTTCGCCATAAAAAGGGTGCTCTCGCCCGCCACTCGCCATTAATAAAAAGGAAGTATTCACATGAATTCAACTTTGGTAGTATATTTTCCCTTAGTATTGCCCCTCTTTCTGCCCTTAGTATTAGCTGGTCGTTCTTTTTAAGATGTGATATTCTCCTGTCATTTGGATTTTGGACAAATCAAGGTTTTTTTTATTACTTGCAGTCGTATTGGAGCGAAAGAAGAAAGGAAGCAGAGTAGCAGTTAAGATGCCACTCTATGACTGCATGCTTTTGTTGAAACCTCAAATAGCTAAGGAGGCGGTGCTGGACTTGGTTGTCAAGGTGAGCAAGCATGTGTATGGCAGAAATGGAGTCCTCACAGATATAAAATCTTTTGGAACAGTGCAGCTTGGCTATGGCATTAAGAAACTTGATGGGAAGTATTTTCAGGTGTGTTTCCGAAGAATTTGATCTTTAAAAAAGTTGTGACACACACCCTCCCGAAACCTTAATGTCCCAAGATTCCACTGTGTTTTTTGTTACAAGTACTTGTTGTTCCCACAATATAGGGGCAGATGATGCAAATGACGATGATGACCCCACCAAACTTCAACAAGGAGCTACATTACCTTAACAAGGAAGACCGTTTGCTTCGCTGGATGTTGGTTAAGAACCGTGGGGACTTTAGCTCCCTCCGGTTTGACTCGTATGACCAAAAGAAATCACTCCCAGCAGGTATTGTGCTGAGCGACTTGAAGGGCGATGAAAATGAAGATAGCAGCGACGAAGAAGAGGATGATGAGGGCACAAATGACTACAAGAACGATTCCCCCCTGTTTAGATTTGGATTAAACTAATCGCTCTATGGGCGCAATAATTGCGATTTTAAATTTTCAAAAGAATGCCCCAAGTCCATTGTTTGAACTTAGGAAACTCTCTGGGTTTTGATTTGTGGTCTGGTATTGGTTTTGTTGATGCAAATAACTGTTTTGACAGTGCTTGCCAATGTAGCTTCTATGGATCCTTTGTAACATAAAGATTCCCCTTGTGGCTTGGAATTTGTTGGGTAGTTCTGTGAAGTTACTTAAACACCCTTATTAAATTACCCTTTTATAGATAGATAGTCTTACACTTTGTGTTTCTTGTGAAGCCAATGTATGGCCTTTGAGATATTACACTAGTATAGAGAAAAATGAGATTTTACAAGAATACTTAAAGAGTACATAATATCATTAGCACTCTTAAATATTTTTATACCTAAAATTACATATTGATCACTGATATATCTTAAAAGTTGAGGGTTCATTTAAAGTAAAAATATTGATTTTTTTAGAGTGCTAGTGATAATTATATAATCTTGAAATATTCTTGTGAACTCTTAAATTTTTGGGAATGTTGACAAAAACTTCTTTGATGAAAAAAGAAAAGAAATAAAAACTAACCAAAGAGTCCTCATCATAGAAGCAATATCCTTTTAGGACAAAAGTTTTCAACAACAAACATTATTCCCATGCAGCTTATATATACCCAAATAAGGTTCACTTTCTTTTTAGTTGATCAATCACCATCCAAGTAACAAAAATAACAAGTAGTCCCCCCTGAGAGAGTAATAATTTCTTTGAATACTATTAATCTGATCCACTTGATGCAGAGAAATAAGAAACAGCACCCAAAATTAACATTATTTTCTATACAGCCCCACACTCCTTATAAGGTCTTTCTTTTTACCCCCATATTCAATGCAACAATCAAACTATACAACCCTCAAATCATATATTTGTCTAAAAGCCTATAAACTATCTATATGAAACTATAATGGTGGTTCTTCTGCAAAGTGTATAAAGTTTTCTTTTTTCTTTTTTTTGAAATTTTTTACACCATCATCATCATCATTATCATCAAGAACCTCTTGCTTCCATAGCAATTGTTGATGGCATCAAGCAACAAAGTCCGGCAACAATGGCGCAGCAAACCTCTTCCGGTCCTCAATGTTGTAACCCATTGGAGTATCCATACTGCCGAACTGATTGTTCGGTTCTCCCATTTCTACCCCTCTCCCCATATGCATTTCTTGGGTGTGGATGAACCCCTGATGTGCCAGGTTTTCGCTGTGTGGAAGACCAAGTGTTAGGGAAACTGCATTGCCCGAATATGACCCGATTTGCCCAATCGGGTACGACCCGAACCCGCCAATGAAGTTTGCTGGTGCTCCTCCCATCAATGTGAAATCCATTGAAGCAGCAGAATCCGGGCATTCTACTCTGCGGGCCTTCTTCGGGCTGAAACTGGGCTGGTTTTGAACACTGGGAGAAGTAGTAGATATAGTGGATTGTTGGTTTTGGGTAAAACTGCTGTTTTCTTGATGATGATCAGAGCAGCCTGCAGCAGAAGCTTCATTTGGTTCCCCTGTTTGATTCTCTGTTCCATTGTTGTTTTGTTGTTCTTGTTCCTTTGTCTCTTCCAAATACATCTCCTCCACCATTGGCTTCCATAGTCGAACCCGGGCATTGATGAACCAGTTAGATACCTGGTTCCTGGTAAGACCTGTCTGCTTTGCCAGCATGATTTTGTCTGAATCCTTTGGGTAGCTGCACACAAACCCCATTGTTTCAGTATGGAAAACTCCAAGTCTCAATATCTTACTAAGGTCTTCAGTTGAACTAGATAATCGATTCGTTTGGCCCAAACCACTTATGGCTTAGTACCCAATTCTAAAGTCAATCATAACACATTAATACAAAAACACCACCAACAAACTCAGTGAAATCCCACAAAAGAACAAAAGGTTTGAAATGCTTACGGATGGAGAAAGTGCTCGAAGAGCCAAGCGCGAAGCACAGAAACAGAACGCTCGGGCAATCCTCTCTGAGGCCTCCAAGCATTCCCATTATGTTGGAACATTCCCAGCTGCTGCAAAGCCCTCTGTTGCCTGAGATGGTTATCGACAAATCTAAGCCTGCTGGATGAGGATGAAGGTGATGAACCCTCAATCTTCCCTCCCAGCCCTTCTATTTCCTCTCCTAAGCTCTTGCCCGCGGCTCGTATCTGCCCCAAGATTGCATCTTTAAGGCACCTGAATTGCTTCGAGATCGTCTGTAATGCCAAAGACGTGTATGTTCTAGAAGAACCCACGCCAGCCGCCTGTTCAAACCATGCTATCACCACCTGCATCTGGTGGTGGTATTGTTTGTACCTCTGCTCCACCTAAGTTTTTTTTAATTCAAGATTGGTTCAAGAAAACAAAGATTGGATTTTTAGTCAAAGAAAGATGGGAAAATGTGGATAGAAACACAAAAGAAGCATCTTTTTTTAGATGTGAAAGGTACTGGTAACACAATCTTAGTCTGATGAGAGTCTTTAAAGGTTTTGAAAAGAACACTTTGAGACAGAAAGTTGATCAGAAACATCTGATGCAAAAACTTTTGCTGATGTAGACCTTTGTTCCTCTCATCTCTCCCATGTTCTTGGAGAAAACTATGTGTGCAAGTCTTTTTGACCCATTTCAGAAGAAAGCTTCTATTTACTCCATTATTAGTTTGACAAATTTAATGTAATTGATGATTATAATTCGTCAAGTTTGATTTGGAAAAATCTGACTAGTATTCACAAGCTTTGATTTCTTCATTTGAATTTCTTGTTTCGAAAATTGATGAAATGAAAATTTTAATTTATACTCTGTATATCTTTTTTAAAGAAAGACCAATACCTCATCCAGCATGTTCACAAGCTTTGATTTCTTCATTTGGATTTCTTGTCTCTCGGCGGTAGTTAGCTCGACGGCGCGTTTGCCACCACTCTGCCCTCCGGTTGGTACATCGGCGGCGGCAGCTCCGGGATTCTTGGAAACCTCCTTGGATCCTTTGAATGGTTCCGTGCCACTCTTCATGCCCCTGCCGACATTGACCACCTCGTCAAGAAGTTCTTGAGCTGCGTTCAAGAATTTAGAATTCAAGAGCACGTTTTGGTGGACCCCACCATTCACAGCGTCGGAGACCGGCGACGGCGATCCGCCGGGAACTCTCACCTCGTCTCCAGCTGCTGCCGACGACGGTACGGCCATAGCCATATGCTCCGTCCCCGCCTCGGGTTTCGGCTGGAAATTCCCGAACCCGGTCTGCTGAGAGGACAGGCTCAAAGACAGCCCCTGCTGTGAGCGCGTTACCCCACGCGCCGCCGCAAGCTCGACCGGCGTGCCGTACAGGCTATACTGCGGCCGCCCGAGGAAGCCGTGGAAGGCGGAGAAGTCGTGCGCGGAGGAAACGTGGACCTCAGTCGACGCCGAGGCGGCGGCGGAGTTATTACCAAAAGGGTGCGCCACATACTGCTGCGCCTGTGACTGCGGCGCGTGGGAGAACCCCATCGAGCTCCCGTGGGAGTTGAGGAAGGCGAAGTTGCTCCCCGGAGGCTGCTGCTGTGCCGCCGCCGCCGACGGCGCGTCGGAGAACCCAACAAATCCGCCGCCAGTATTCATGAGTATAAGTGTCTGTAAGCCATCGCCGCCGCCCCCGCCGCCGTGGATATCAGAATTCCCATGAAAATACGTACCCATCTCTCTTTCAACAATGGACTGAAACCTCGTTTGGTATTATTATATAAATCTGACAAATAACCACCAAATTACACTACTGTTAGCTCCTTCTTACATTAATTAATCCAAAATTACAGAACATATTAAACCTTAATCATCTACTTTTAAAAAACTAACCATTAACAATAAATTAATGTAGACTACAAACACATACACACACACACACAGACTTGGTTGGTGAAGTAAAAGAACATGTGGTTTAAAAAAATAAAAAAAAAAGGCAAGGAACTGTTTGGGTATTGACTTGGAGGAGAGGGTCTTCTTTAATTCTTATCTTATCGCTTAAGCACTCGAAAATTCAAAACCAATCATTACATAAAAATAAAAAAAATTTATATTTCCCCCCAAACACACCCCTCCTTCATATCTTGAAATATTACCCACTTGTCAAGACAAGGAGTCTACAATAGATAATATCTGAGTTCGATTCCTGACAACTGCGTCGAAAAACTTCTATGTTAAACATAGAACTTCTGCAAGCATCAACTGCATATTTACCCTATACTAAAGCCCTAAATTAGCTCTTCTCAGGCGAAACTGAGACTTGTTCTGAGGAGTTGCAGGTTCTACTTTTTATCACTAATTTGTGATTAAAAGCTAATTTATCTCTTTTCTAACCGTAATTCTATGGGTTAAATTTAAAATGATCCATTAAAAACATGAAACTATAATTGAAAGAGAGAGTGCAATTTTTCAATAATCTAAATATCAGATGTAAGCATGCTAATCTTGTATCCTAAATCTATATTCTTGAGTTATCAGAAGAATTAGCTAAGAGATAGTCTCTTTTTTTTTCATAAAACAAAAAACAATCGACAGCAACCCAACAATCAAGATCATCATCATTTAACAATTGAAATAAATTTTCTTCAGACAGAGATAGAGAGAGAGAGAGAAAAAGGAGAGAGATAGAGAGAGAAAAAAACATACCCCTCTCCCATGTCTGTCAAATGAAGCTAAGAAACCTGGATGTATCTATATGTGTGTCTATATATATATATATATAGCATCTATATATTTATATGTATATAAGGTGTCTCAATCAATTCCTCTGTGATGACTGATATATGATATGCAACAAAGTCTCAATTGAATTTCCTAATGCTGATAATGGCTGAAGGAAAAGGGAAAGATGCTAAGACATGTAAAGAGTGATGATGATGAGAAACGGCTTAAAAGTTGAAGAAATAAAGACACCTTTCTTTATTCACCATATAGTACACTACAGTGTATGTGTGTGTCCACTCAATGTGTCATTTCTCATTTTCAAAAATATAAAAAAAGTTTAGAATTCTAAAAAGATTTTTTTTCGTCTCAATTTTGATTACAAATTAGAATTTAAGGGAAAAATCTTATGTTTTTTTAAATTATTTTTATTTACAAATTGATACATCAATAAAAATAAAATTTACATATTAAAAAATTGCAACAAAAGTTTCCCACAAAAAAAGATGAGACAATAATATTTTATTTTATCAAATAACCAATGAAAATAGTCAAATAAACAAAATTCATCCCGAGGTGAGAAAAAAATTATAATCAATTTCAAGACAAAGAAAGTATTTTATTTAAATAATACAGATTATTATTTTCAATTCAATTTATATATTGGTACTCTCTCCCTCCTGGAAAGATCTTTACATTTTACTATTCGGAATCTTCAATGCAACACTTTCATCATTAATATCTATTCTCATAAACTCTTTTTTTCTTTGCCTCCCAAAATCCTTTTTGCTTCTATTACAAAATTACTTTTACCCCCGTTAGTTTTCACCCGACCTATCACATCGTACCTTTTTACTACTCCCTTTGTCCTAAAATGATTTTCTCAGTCATTATTCAAATGGTCAAACTTTAATTACTTTATTTATCGAATTTCATTAGTTATTTGATAAAATAATATAGTCATGTCACATCTTTTTTTGTTGAACTTTTGATGTACTTTTAAAATATATCATTTTTATTTTTTAATTTTACACCTATAATTGAATAAATATGATTGAACATAATTTCTGTCAAACCTTGTAAACCAAACTGAGAAGATCCTATTAGGACGGTGGGAGTAAAAATCTACTAATCACATCCTATTTTTAGCCATCACATCAAAGATATTCTTGAAAAATCAATGCAAAAATATACCTCCCTTAATTTTTCTTAAAGTTAAAATGAAAAGGAACTTAAGGAACGGAGAAACTATATATTATACGGTTATATATATTTCAAGTCTCTGTAATATAGATGACTAGCTTTTACTTTCAAAAAAAAAAGATGACTAGCTTTTGTTTTTTTCCCTTGTAATTTTTTGTTATTGTTTAAGTCATCTTTATATTTTTTATTTAGAAAATGGTCCTAATCAAACATAATTAGCACTTTTAATTAGTTAGTTGAGATAATACGTTTATTTATACTCAATTTTTTAGTCTTATATTTCTAACTACCTCTGACACAATTTTCAAATCTTATTAAATTGTGTTCTTATTCATATTACATTTCTCGCCAATACCCAAATTTCTTGGAAATATAATATGATAAAGTTTAATTTAGAAATTGGAAATGTAATTTGATGAATGACACAATTTATGGCATGTGAATTGTGCCTAACATAATTAAAAACACAAGACTAAGATATTGAGTACAAAATAATTGTGTTATTTCCATGAATTATAAGTCTTATTTACCCTTAAGGACTATTTTTAAAATAAATTTTTTTGTAAGGATGACTTAAACAAAAAATATTTGCAGGGACCAGAAACAAAATTAGTTGCATATTTTAGGGAGACTAAAAATATATTTAAACTTATATTATACCTATTTATCCCTTTTTCCATCTTCAATCGCCGATTGACTACAGTAAATTATTATATCAATCCGCCATTTGGGAGGGGGCAAGGTATTAGACTGTTAGAAGGGCTTGAGTAAAAATCATTAATTTTTCAAATGAATCACTGTAAAATTTCATGTCTCGCATGACATTGGTCACCAATATCTTGACAACAACCAAAAATAAAAATAATCCCCACTAATTAATTTTTGAAAAAAAAAGTGTTTCGTCTACCTAAGGTCTCCACCTACTTCTTGATATAATAATGCATGTACATTTGTGCATTCATATTTAGAGTCTACACACTCTGATTGAAAACGACTTTCACTACATCTTACCAAGTAGTATTAGTATTACAATTTACACATGATTTCCCATTGGCCATTACTACTTTCTTCGAGATAGGTTGGACAATTATAAAATATTTCCTTTTGGTCGCAAATATCTTTTTTTTTGTCAAACTATAATACCTTTTGATCGCAAATTACAAAAAATTATATTTAGTTATATAATGTAAATTTTGTAAAAATTGGGTTTATTTTAAAATATAATTTTGGAATATCAATTTTTTATTATATTTAATTATTTTAAACTATATTTAATTCGTGATTAAAGTATAGTACCTCGATCACAGTTTGACTAAAAGAATAAATTGTGACAATCTTTTAGAAGAAAAAAAATATTTTGAACGGGTGAAAGATAATTTATTTACAGCATGGTTACGTTTAATTAATTTGTTGACTATTACATCGTGCACTTGAAGCATTGGAAAATGCTACTAAAAGTTATATGGACCAAAGAAAATGAATTGTATTTTCTCCGTCCCTAAATAAATTTTCTTTTTTGACTTTTTGAGGATTTATGTAAGGGATATTTTTGTGTTGACTTTCCAAAAACACCCTTAATGTGATGTGTAAAAGTAAGATGTGATATGTAGATTATTAGTAAAAAGGTATGATGTGATAGGTAGTGTATGAAAAAAGTAAGGGTAAAAGAGGTTTTTAAGGGAAAAAAGAAGTTTATTTAAAGACAAAGAGAAAACGAAAGGAGATATTTTTTTTTAAGGGACGGATGGAGTATTCATTAGTGAGGATAATATTTCACGAATGGGTTGAATTGGAGTAAATAAGTACCATATAAAATGGGGAAATGCTAACAATTCTTTCCTTGTATTATAAAAAATGAAGTTTTGAGTGGTCTGTTTTTGAATTTGTTTGGATATTATTTTCTTTTATTGTTTGCATCCAACCTTTTCATATGTTCATCTGTTAGCTAGTATTACATATAATGAATTGAAATTAGATTGATATACCGTGAACGTCAGTTGAGTTTTGTACGAGTTTGGAGAAGCTTATTCCCTTTGTATGGAAACATTCAAAAGAGAAAAATAAAAGAAGTATCTTGTAACTGGATCATATCATAACCATCTTTATAAATATAAGAGCCCATGTGTACTGCAAGGGTCTTGACCTAACATACAAGCGATGAATATGTCATGAAGAAGAGCTAGAGAATGTTGGGAGCTCATCATACTCCCTCCGTCCCTAATTTGATTACAAATTGCGGGTTACTGAGTAAAATTTCTTACTTTTTGAAATCATTTTATTTACAAATTGGTATATCAATAAGATATAAAAAGTGAAATTTGCACTAAATAGGACTAAAACATAATGACTTTCCTAATGTAGGACTTAAACTTTTTTATTCCCTAAATAGGACATAATAATGACCTAATGAGAGGAATAATGTCCAGTAATGATTGACATTTAGTTGAATAATGACTACTTGATAATGACCAAAGGTCCTACATTGAGAAATAAAAACATATGGTCCTATATTGAGAACGTCATTATGTTTTAGTCTTATTTAGGTAAATTTCTCATATAAAAATCACATACGGAGTATTAAAAAACTACGTCAAAAGTTCTACAAATCAAGAGGTGACAAGAATATTTTATTTTATCAAATACTTAATGAAATCGCGTAAACAATCAAAAGTTATCGAGAGGAGAGAAAAAAAATTGTAATCTATTTAGGGACGGAGGGAGTATATATAAGGAACAAGTAAAAATCAATATTAACGATACTGAAGGTTTGGAGACTAAAATGGAAAAGAAATTAGAGTGTACTCAAGACCCGATTCTCAAGACGTCGTCGGTGAAAAACGTAATATGTATGGGTTGGTGCTTAGGGACACTTAGTTTATTCTAGACAAAGTTAATGAAGGCAAGATTAATGTGATGTCCTATTAATCAATTGTAGGGATTATATAAAAAAGGATGAGTCACATCTCCAAGGATCCTCTCAAATACGGCCGGACGATCATTAAGAGAAGATAAATTAGACTTTGATCGTAGATTGATGGCAAAGAGTGCAGCATGAGCGTAATACTTGCATAAGGCCTATGCTTCTTAGCATAATTGCCTCAAAGTGCAATTGTCGAGATTCGAACTTGGATCATACCCTCACCATCCAATTGAAAGGGTATTATTAATCCCCATTAATAGAAAAAAGGATGACTCTCATCCCCGAGGATCCCCTTAGACTCGGTCGGACGCTCACTGGGATGAGATAAATTGGACTTTGATCACAAATTGGGGAGAAACAAATGGAGTCTGTATTTGGTACTTGCAGAAGCCATATACCTATCATAGTTGTCTCACATACAATTGTCAAAAATCGAACTTAAGTCTTATTTCCTTGGCATTCCTTACATTTTTAAATTGCGTAATGCCCACCCGTATTACCCTAGTGGCCGAGTGGTAGAAAAAAAGGATGAGTCCTATCCCTCAGGACTCTCTCAGACCCCAGCAGACGGTCACTGAGAGAAGATAAATTAGACTTTAGTCATATAGATTGGTGGCAGATAGTGAAGCCTACGAACCTAATACTTGTAAAAGCTTTATGTTAAGCATAGTTGTCTCCCAGCACAATTACCAGAAATCGAACTCCAATCTATATCTTAATCCTCTCTATCTTTGTTCATTGCGCTATAGGGAGGCATAGTGTCCAAGTAATAGAGAGTTTACACTTGATGCCAAAAGTTTTGAAAGTTCTGCACCATCGTTTCCTAAAAAAGACAGGTCACCAGTGGAAATGTGGAATAGTATCACTACGGGGCCTGCATTCATAATTATTGGTTTCCTTCTGTCGTTTTCATTCATTGCAAAGAACTTACGTATTATTAATTCGTCCCTTCCAAAATTATCTCTTGTTTTTGATAAAATATACTCCCTCCGTCCACAAATAAATTTTACATTGCGTGTTACGATGTTTGACTGAAATTATTTTCAAATCATTTTATATAAAAA